TTGTTACACTCAATTTGCGCTTTTGTTTTCATCTTTTGTTTTCATATTTTGTAATCTGGCAATCTTTCTGCGAAAACATTTTTAAATCATTCTTGAAAAATAACCGTCCATGTAAGTTGTTATGATTTTGCTACTCGCTTTATAGTCCCCCCTTTTTAATGTTTTTTCTTTTTTCTTTTTATTTTATTTTATTATCTGTTTTTACCTGTTATATTTACTTTTTATGATCTATTTTTATGTAGTTATTTTATAAAAAAAATTATTGAGTGCTCCTCACACTATTGTATTAATATATTTTGCTTAGGCTTTATTGATACAATATCAGAAAGCACTCTGTTTTGCGGATATAATCGTGTGGGCTGAAGAAAAGATTATATCTTTTTTTTTCCGTTTTTTTTTAAAGTAAAATTTTATCTTTTTTTTTAAACTGTTGTTTGCTATTTTTTTGCTTATTATTTCCAACCCCCTTTTTCATATGTCTATAATTTTTCTTTGTTTTATCTTCATCTTTAACTTATATATATATATATCGCAAATCAATATCATAACACATACCAAAGCTATTTTTTGAAAACATATAAGAATTTGTTTTGGTAAACATTTTACAACATTGATATTGCAACGCATATCGAAATGAAATTAAGGTTCAATTTAACTATACGAGAAGCTTAGATTGTTTAGCGTCATTATCTGGAAAAGAATGTTCTAAAAACTTGCTAAAGTCACTTAAGCCATCTTTTTTCTTATTTCCCACGCTTCAAAGTTCCTCAATGCATTTTTCCTATCTTTAATACGTCACGTTTTTCCACGTCCCTGAGATTTTTAATGTGAGACCAGGTAAGATGTGACCTCCCCTCCCTGTTCCAAAAAGAATAAAAGAACAAACCACAGAACCGAGAAGTAATGACAACTTAAGATTTTTAAGGTAGGAAAAAAAATATACTTGGTTGCCATTTTGAAGTGGCAAGTCTTAAGAAGTCAACAGTTTTCCATGTATTTGCACACGAGAAGCATTTAGAAAGGAAAAAGAATGAAAAAAAAAAGAGAAATATGTTGCTTCTTGTTTTGTCAGTGGTGCAGGTGGTTAAATGACCGGAGGGCAAGACAAGGCACCTATAGAGAGGCAGAGAAGTTTGAAATTCTTTTTACAAGGAACTTTTCAGTGGAATTTCAAATGACTTTTACGTCAAGAGGAACTATCAAGACTTTTTGCTATTAAATTTCATGTCTGTAAGTTTCATGGTGGTAAAATCGAAAAATTATAAAATTTATTTATTTTTTCTGTTTAATTAATAGTTGACTTCATGTTGATATAATAAAAAAATTAAACGTCCGATCAATTTTTTACTGCCTTTGTATTTACAGATTTAATGGTGGTGAAATAAAAAAATTTAAAAAATTAGTAATTTTTGTATAATTTGATAAGAAAGAAACATTAGAAAATTTATTTTTCTTTACGTAATAATTGTTTGCTTTATGTTGATAAAGTGGAAGAGTTAAATTATATTTCAAATTTTTACTGTCTATTAAATTACAGATTTAATAGTAATAAAACAGAAAAATTACATTTCTAATAATTTCTACTATTTATTTAATGGGATACCTGCTAATGACTTAGTGTGGGTATCTCGATCCTGATTGGTTGTTGAAACAAAGCATTTGTTTACACTAGTAACTGTTCTTTCTATTTCGAGAAAGCGAAGCCCGTCAAGTAACAATTATTTTAAGTGATACATTCTACATTCGTTCTCAAAGATTCTTTCACGAAGATTTCAATTCTTTTACTATATATTTCTAACTTAACACAAAGACAGACAAAAAGCCATGCAGAACGTGAACAAACTAATTATGCATCGCAGTTGCCTGGAACATAAAACAAAAATATATTACGGTTTTAATATAAAATAATTAAAAAACAAACAAATCTAAGTTAAGTAAAAGATGTAGACAAGAAAGAATTATATTTCAACAAATCCGATATCCGTATTTAATTAACTTTGCGTTAATTAACTTTCTATCATATGTGAAGAAACTTAGCTCGGCTGCAATACGCCATTTTGCTTATAAACGATCGGCTGGTTCTGAAGTCATGTATCACGCATGTGGGTACCCGTGATCCTCTTCATCTTGAAGTGCAAGTACCCAATTATTCCGTAATAGTTATAAAATATAACTAGAAAATGTATTTATTTTTTTCTAAAAAATAAATTGTAGACTACCTGGCTTTTTTTTCTGTTTTCAATAATGTTTGGATAAGAAAAGAGGAGGAAGCAAATTAAATAATTAATTTTATCAAATTTTATCACTATTTTAACAAAATTTTTCTTACAACTAAAAGATCTATGATATTTTAATCTTTTTTGAAAAATACATGACCCACTAGTTGGCATGCCTTTGTTCGTGTGTCACCAATCCTTAGCTAGGTTACGGAATGTTTATTAGTTAATTGTTGATAGTAGATTTTTTAAATATTTAATTAGGTGGTTTTCATTGTTTACACAATTTTGAAAATTTCAAGTATATTTATTTCAGTTTGACATTAACTATCTGCATCACCATCTGTTGATAAAGTTTTGAACTAAAATCAGGAATTTGGAGAAGAAAAATTCTTGCCCTGTCACATGATTTTGCAGCAAGATTTTTTTTTCAACTATAATGCTTTTGTTGTAGTAAAATTTTGAAAACCAGTATGGTACATACGTTTAAATCTCCCAATAATGTTGAAGTCATTCGCAATTTCTTTTGCCATCACTTTTTTGATCGATATTTATTATTATACAGCAACAGCAGATAGTACAGCTGAAATATGTATAATGCTGTTAAATTAAAAATATTTAGTTATTTTGTACTAATACTCATTTTTGTATAAAATCTGAAAATTCTAGAAACATGTCAAGCACCTGCCTGGAAACGATATTAAGAAGCAGTTTGATGTAAAAATTTCCCCTATGGAAAAAATGCTGCTTATTACTATATTACTCAAAGCCCATCTTTTCAATTTGAAATTAATTATAGTTCGTTTATTTTTTCCATAGGATAAAGAAATGTGCCGTGAGTTGTTAAAGTTGATACCGGGCTATCATTCAAGTAGAAGAGTTATTTCGAAAGAGTTATTCGAAAAAACTAAAGAGGAGAGAGCTGCAAAATTGAAGCGAAATAAAGTAAAAGAGCTGTGAGTAGAGAAATTTCTTAATAATAATAATCAACAAAACAATTTGTCTATGAGTTTAAAGCAGGATATTTCTTAAAAATTACAAAAACACTGTAAAAAATTAATACTCAAATTCACGAAATTTTATTTGTTTTTGACAAAACCGTTTCCTGATACATGCTCCGAGCAAAAATTTCGTCTAAGTGACGAAATAGCTATTTTCAAATCTTCGAAGAAACGAATATCGTCAAGATTAAGGAAATATTTTATCGTTCATTTAAAAAAAAAAAAAAAAAATTTAAAAAATAGTTACAGCGGCCAATGTATCTGACTTTTCTAATAATCACTATATTGGGTTACCATATAGGTTGATCAATGTATACCAAACAGCACAAAAAAGGACTGTTAAAACAGAGAGATAAATTACACTCCTGCCTGAAGCGAGATTTGAACCTTAGACCTTCTCGGCACAAGGACAACACCTTGACCACCATGCAATTCCCTTTATTTTCGATTATCTAGTCTTATTCTAGTTAACTATCTGACACTGCGATCACGTTTAAAATTCAGGAAATATTTTCGTCACATATTTGAGAGTGCGCATTTCGAGAGTACGCATTCGCAAATGTTTCCCAAAATTAACGAAATGTACCTCAAGAATTACTGAATCGTCAAAAGTGAGTTTTTTTTTTGAGAGTGAACGTGATCTGTTTTAAGGTAAAGTAAAGTAAAGTAGACACAAAAGGATGAGCAGTTTTGTAAATTATTTTAATTCTACGTTGACAGGAAGATCTGCAGTTTAGGCAAAACGTATTCGGATACGTTGATGCAAGCTTTAGCCAAGAGAGAGAAAGACAATTTAACAGGTTGTGTGGCTGTAAGTATATTTAGCATTTAAATAAATAAATGAATAAAGTATCAAGTACAAAAAGTATTAAAAACGTTTTCCAGTGAAATGTAGCTTCAAAATTAATTTGTTAAAATGCAAAAATTGTAATTTATTTTACCCTTAATCCTTGATCCTTAATTCTAATCCTTAAATGTATAGTGATGTAGAGTTACATCTCGTATATTTGAAACCTTACGTCTTAATGTAGTAACCTTAGTATAGTGTTTTTTCATTTTGTTTTTGAACGCAACTAGAATCTTTGGCATGTATAAAAGTAACTGTGCTTGAAAATGATTATCTATATAAAATTATTTGTATTATTATATTATTGTATGCAGCAGATTTGCAGAACTCTAGCAGTAATTGTTCATGAAAATGTAGAAATATATCAATAGATTTTTTTTTTCTTTTGAAAATTAAAAAACCCTAAGATTTGTTCATTTGTTTTTGAAAATTAAAAAAAAATCCTTCGTTTTTTTTTCTTCTTCTTTATATTTTTCTATTAACTGTCCCACTATTTATTTCTCACATTGTATATTAAAAATAAAAATTCATGCATTTAAGCGTCAAAAAATATGGCAACAAAAAATAAATAAAGATTTTATCTTGTTTCAAAAAATTATTCGAATTATTCTGAAAATATTTTGATGTTGGATGGGAATTCTAAAGAAACAAACAAATGTGTTTATGTATTACGTAATCAAATTTTTAAAAATAAACATTTTCCCTGCACATTTAGAAAAAAACAAGCAAATGCAATATCTTTTTATTTCGTCTCAGAGTAAACCTATTAAAGCTCAAAAAGCCAAATTGCTCATAAAAGCCAAATTAAGTTAGTAAGTTTGGTAAATATAACTATGGAAAAAATTTAAATAAATAAATAACAATATTATTACATTTATACTTGCAATTGAAATAACAATAAACTGTAATTTTAATACAAACGTAAATTTCAAGTATACCATCTTAATACTTAATACATGATAAAATTCACACTGCATACAAAATAACATCCTTGCAAACAAATCCTTATGCATTTTATTTCTTTTCAAAGAGGCGTGTTAGAAATGCATAAATATTAAACATTTTTAAATTTTAAAAATTTGACTGGCATTTAAACTATTTAATTACAGTCGAACTCGTTTATAACGAGCACAAAGGGACCGTAACATGTACTCGTTAAATCCGAGTGCTCGTAATAAACGGGTCCTTAAGGCAGGCGTGCAACCAGAAGAGGGGAGGGGGGGGGTTGGAGGTCAAATTATTGAGTTTACATAAAATTTAATTGTTACTTACTTACTTTAATTAATTTAATTAAATACTTTTCTTAATTTAATGACAACTATCTTCCCCCTCCAACCAGCAAAAAATTTGTAGTTGCGCTACAGTCTTAAAGGAAAGAAGCAATAAACGGAATGAAAAATAAAGGAAAAGATTCTTACCAAAAAATTTATTTTTTTCATTAATCTACATATTTAAAATAGTAGTTTGTTAGCTTACTTTGAAGTTTCAGTTCGCGTTTTTTTTAATTCTATTTCGTGCGCATTTCTTATCATTTAAAAAAAAGATTGCAAGACAGAAAAATATTGCTCGCTAAAACCGGATCTTGCTCGTTAAAAGCGACTTCTGTTCCATAGACTTAGCATTGATCCAAACAAATATTCTCGTTTCCCTCCGTAAATCCGAGTTCTCGTTAAATCCGAGCTCGTTATAAACGAGTTCGACTGTACTTTTATTTGACATTGATTTGTTTGCTTTTCTGGAAGCTTTCTCCATAGTGTAAAGGAGAAAAAATATTTTGTAAGTACATATGCGTTTATACCGTGCATATAAAATGGCACGAATTATTAACACGACATGTATTTTATAAGACTAAACTAGTATGTGTGGACCTTAGGAACACATAATTTGCGAACATATTTATTAAAATAGGTGAAAATGGATTAAATGCCTATAAATGCAGTGTGAGAACAAATCGAATTTGAGGAGTTAATTGATTTTGTTCTCTCCAACTGATAAAAAAATTTAACTGATTTCCTAGATCAAAGATTATTTGAACAAACTGAGCGAAATTTTATATGAAATGCATTTTTAATCATTATTTCTTTTATTCTTTTTAATAACAGCAATATTATCATTATTTTGACATTTCAATTAGTTTTATTTAATAACTATGGATATTTTATAATTATACTTTATTTTATAAATTAGTTTTGCCAAACAAAACTAGTATAAGGCAAAGTTGTTATAATTCTTATAACTTCTATAGTAAGCACAAGAATTTTTTAATATGATTATAATAACGTGTATATATACATAATACGTGTATATATACATATTTATTTTCAGCAATGTTTCAGATAACATAATTCTTACAGACTAAGTGTTATTATGTTTATAGTTATTGTAGTTTAATTACCATTTCTCTCTCTTTTTATATATTTTTCAATATATACCTAATTTTATAGCTCCTATGATTAGAAACCTATTAAGGCGTTTTATTAAATTAAACAATTGTGCTGAAATCCTTGCTATACAGGATAATTTTGAATAAGCTGTTGTCTCATGAAACAAGTAGAAACTAATTTTTTTTTCTATTTCTTTTTCAGTTTTTTCTTCATTATTATTTTATTAATTTAATTTTCTTTATTTATTTGTAAAAGAGTGCTTTGTCGTTACTTCTTAGATTTAAAATTCTCTATGCTCCTGATATATTCTAAAAGTAGAAGTAAATAAAATGGAAATAGGCGATTTATATATTGATGTCCAAGCTTTTGAAAAAATTTCAAAAAATGAAAATGTATAGTGCTGCCATCTGCATCTTTTCTTGTTTAACTGTTACATAAGCAAGGAAATTCTTTAAAGAGAGAAAAATTTTAAGTCTCCTTCTTCTCCGATAAGCATAAACCACGGGGTGGAAAAAGAAGGAACAATCAGCTGACACTCAAGCATGAAATGTAATAAAATTATTTATTTTAATAAATCATAAAGCATTAATTACACTTAAATAATCCTAAGAAACTGAAGTGGTAGGATAATACCTGAAGGAAAACTTCATATGCTTCAAAAATATGCGAAATTGAAATGACATTCCACACGGTGACTGTCATTTCAATTTTGTATATTTCTGAAGCGTATAAAGTTTTCTATCATATAAAACACTAATTAAACTGATAATCGGCTTGAAAACAACAAATTTATTATTTATGTATAATTATTATTTTTTACTTTTATCAATGATTACATAGATTATTATTATTATTATTATTTGTAAGAGAGTAAGCGAAGTAGAATTAACTTAGACTGCTTTAATAAATCAAAAATGAGTTTCGTCTATTACTCTTACTAATTATACATTTATAAGCTATTACTTTTAATCCAGATTAAAATATTTAAAATTTATATGTACTGGTATTGAATTACCGGGGAAGTTGGAAATGTCTACATTGTATACAATGCCTGGTGTTTAAAGTAAAAAAATATAAGAATTTTTATGTACCTAAACATGGCATTGTATTCAATGCATGATAACATGATTGTATGTTTTGGCGCATGTAAACCAGGAAGAAAAAAATTATTTTCTCTCCCTATGCATAAAAATATAAATATAATATTATATAATTTTCAAGAAAAATATTATTGATTTGAGGACCAAAAAAACATATTTCTCCTCTTTTAATAAGTCAGTTTTTTTTTCTCATTTTTTTTTAATGAAGAACCATTTTTAATTTGACGTTCTTATTTACTTAATACCGCGTTAGATACCGTCATATATAATTATATGCCTTTATAATATTCGATAAAGAAAAACAACATTATAGAGAATATCGAACTTATTAAAGAAGGAGAAATAAAATGCCCACTGGTGGCAACAATAAATTTCTTTCAACTAATACTAATTAATAAATAAAGCCTTGAAACAATCAATGATGAAAAAATCAATTTAATACTTCACCGGTTTGTCATTTGTCAGTGCTTGACCATTTATGAGATGCCTAATTATATCATACTTTCCAGATTGATTTTTAGCATTATATTGTAGATTATGTCTAGTAATTGTATACAATACCCAATACCGGATTTCTTATGTTGCAAGTAAAACATATAAAATAAAACTTAACTTTCGTTATCTTTTCTCCTTTTCTTTCCAATAATTGATTGAAAAGATTTTCGCTTTTCTTACACAAATTCTTCTTTACTCATACTCTATTGATTTAATTTTCAATACAATAAAAAGATTATATTTTGATATTAATCAGGCCTAAATAGAATTACATCATTTTGGATTATTATCATTATCTTTTTTATTTATTTATTTATTATTTTTATGAAATGAAGGAAAAGTTTTATTCAAAAGATTATGTAAAATTTCATGGGTCTGTTCAATCTCATTTTTTAAAAATTCTTAGTATGAAATATATTTTTTATCATAATTTTTTATTTTAAAAAAATAATTATTAAAAATTCATTGATTTATAATGATTCTTCGTTATAAAGAAACTTTTTTTTATATACACTGTAGTTGTTCTTCTACTGAATGAAAAACAATAAATTTTAGAAATGAAGCAAATAAAATATATCGGATTTAGAAATTAAATTTGTAACCAAAAAATTTAATATAAAAATTATCATGTTAAATTAATTTATCTGTTTCATGTTATTGTTTCTTAAATAGACTATCATATTCCTGCGGGATGTTAACGATAGAAATGAAGAAGTTTCAGCCTATATCGACTATAGTCACCGTTTAAAATCCGAAGATTGGGAACCTTACTTTAGAGAAGAAAAGAAATTAGTCCCTTTAGTCACCGATCTCAGGTAATTTCATATTTTATTTATTTATTTATTCTTACTATTTTTATTTATTTATTTGCGTTAAATAAATGGAAAAAGTAGGTTTTTAAAATGTCTAATCTCTTATGCTAAGTTTTTTTTAAATTTTTTTTTAATTTATATATTTTTTCGTTTTTTAGAAATTGGTCCTATTAAGGCATCCCACTGGTTTCGACAAACTTTTTAAAGATTTTTCCTCAAAACACAGGTTACCACATAATTGATCTAGGAAAGAAAACTGTTAACGTGACTCAAATTTGCACTTATTTTGACATTTTTATTAATGTATTTTATAAATTTTTAAAGTTTGTTTTAAAACAAACTTGATTAAAATTTTTACTCCATTTTGGGTAAACAGGGGTCCTAAAATTATAAATCTGAAGTAAACTTTAAAAATGTATAAAATACATTAATAAAAATGTCAAAATAAGGGCAAATTTGAGCATAAAAATTACAGATTTTTCATGTCAAGTTAACAGTTTTATTTTCTAGATCAATTATGTGGTTACCTGTGTTTTGAAGAAAAATCTTTCAAAAGTTTCAAATAACAATGAAATAGAACTAAATATATTGTTCAAAACAGATTTTTTCAAAGAAAACTTTTTAACGTTCTTAATTAAAGCAGGGATAAAAATAAATTCACACTTAACATAGCTTAACAGTAACACTTGACAGTATACAAAATCTATATACAAAGTTTCGAAGAATTCCATCATAGCAAATTTTTTCAACGTCTGTTGGCATGAAAAGTTTTTCTCAAAATCACCATTTTTCTGAAAATGCATTTAAATTAAGTAATTGCTATTCTGTTTCATCTGTCAGCATGCGAAAAAGCAACTATAACCTCGATTCTAAAAATCAGAGACTAAAAATCTAAAGAGATTTTAAAAGCTAATAAACAAAAATTCTATTATGAACGGAAAAAAAAATTGAAATTTTGCCGAAATTGGCGATTTTTAGCCAGTTGGATACCTTAACGGCTGATTTCATGATTTCTTCGCTGCATATGCATGAAATAAATAAATTATAATTAGAAATTGGCTTCTTTAAGCGACTGATTTTATAATTTGTTAGTTACACTTGCATGAAATAAATAATTTGTTCTTAAAAATCTCGTTCTCTTAATGATGGATCTCTGATTACTTAATACAACTTTAGCTTAAAAAGTAAAACATAATGAAATTTTTTTAAAAATAAATAATGTGCATAAATCAAATAACTAAGTATTACTTTTTTGCAGTTTTTATAATTGGTCCAAAGAGGTATCTTTTCACAAATCTAGTTCATGCTTCGATGTTATTATTGATGTTAGTACCTACAAACTTAAATTCATTTGTAAAAGCGATGGTTTTGGCATTGATGTGGAACCTAAAGTAAGTATGATTCATTTATGATTATTATTATATTTAAGAATTATATTGGATAATCTCTTTCGACATGATTGATTGATATAAAATAAGGAAGTATATAATTATACTTTAGTTGAAATAACATATATTTGGTTTTTAAAACTGTAATTTGAACATTTGCAATGTGCTTCATATTTTATGTGAAAGTGAAAGGTAAATTTTAATTATGAACCAAAATTTATTACTTTTATAAAGTTTATTGCTTATATTGGATTAGCTTAATTGACATGATTGATATAAAATTAGAAAGTATATAGTTACACTTTAGTTGAAATAACATATATTTGGTTCAAAGAAATGTAATTTAAACAAAGAATACTTGATATTTTATAATTATACTTGATATTATTATGTACATTATAGTGCACGGTAAAATTTTATTATGAAACAGAAAGATTATTACTTTTATGTGAAGTTAGAGTACTTAAGGGTATTGCTCCCAGATTTATGCCAGTTGTTTACTATTTTATTTTCCCCTTTTAGTTTGAGCCATTTTTTTATTAACTAACAAGCATAAATGCTTTTTAGCGCATTATCTTTCTTATTGTGGAGAGATTAAGGTTATCTTGAAAGAGAATAAGATTGAATTGGAAGTGCACTATTGAACCGAACTCACTTAAGGACAAGCTCACAAATGTAAGGCGTTTAGTTACCATTTTTTAATTAAAAACAGTTAAAAACAAGACTATTTTCCGTTTCATGATTCGTAATATTAAATACCTACTGCTATCTTTAAACAAACTGAAAAATTCTGACTTAACTATTTTGTTTTCTATAAAATTGATTGTTATTTACATTATTAGATTTATATTTATTTATTTGGTGCATTTTTTTCTAGGATAAACGCGATGAAAATACTTATAGGTTGGATATCACCGGCACTAAATATCTGCAAGCTGTCATTTTTGATCATGTTGTAGATATTCCTATATGTTAATTTTTTAATATAAAGAAGAAAGCTGGTGCTGCCATCTATGAGAAAAGTATGGAATGAAACTGCTAGAGAAACAAAATAATAGATGAATGTTTCAGCAAAAATTGAGTGTTTCTAACACTTCGTAGATGAATTGAAATATTTATAAGAAATATTATGATTATTATTAGAGTGTGCACATTTTTTATGATAAAAATATGCTTGAATAATTTTCCAAATCGCACAACTTCAGGTTATTGCTGTTCAACAACTTGAAATCCAATCGTGGGTTATTTCAAGGCATAATAATATTCTAAGGAAGAAAAAAAAAACAAGCCTGGTAGAAAAAGCCATTCAGTCGAAAGTGAGTTTTTGACATCAATTTTAATATTAAATTTTAAAACCAACACAAAACAATGAGCAAGGCACTTTTGGGGTAACAAATCCTTGCACAGCAAAATAAAATATAAAAAATAATAATAAATAGATAAATAAAATAAAATACAAATAAAAAATCTTCCAATAATAAAAAATTTATAAGAATCCTTCTCAATATTAGCGACAAATAAAAGAAATTTTCTCGAATTATCATTAAATAAAATTTCTTGAAGTTTAAAACAAGAAAGTGATAAAAAATAATTGTTCTTTTTTTCAATTATTTAGCCTATTTAAGTATTTCTCTCTCTTATGTGTGAAATTTTGAAAACTATTGTGACTGTACAATTTAATTTCGTCCCCATCAAAAATTGGGCCCCTGCGACGCAGGTGATATTATAAACCTTTTACAAAATACTATCTTAAAACTTTAAGTATTTTCACTTATGGGGACAATAGACTTTGAACTATATCAAAACTTATGCTTTAATGGTTTTGGGGACAATATATACAATTAAAATCCTAGTATATGTTTACATATTTTCCTATTTGGAGATAATAGCCCTTGAACTAGACTAAAAAATTTTATATTTTTGTAAGTGTAAATGTTTATAATCTGTTAATTACAATAGTATTGATATTGATTTCATGTATGAAGTAATATTTCTTATTTGTAAGGATAAATGGTTTGCATTTAGAGCATACAAATATTTAAGATTTAAAAAAAAAAAACTATATGTGCAGAGGGTCAACAAAAAGACAAAATAAATTTTATAATTTTAATCTATGGCATACCTGTAAGTGTGGTTATCTCGATCCTCATTGGTTGTTGAAACGTGGCATTTGCTTACGTTAGTAACTGTTCTTCCCATTCGAATAGGTCAAAACCGTCAAGTATCAATTCCTTTAAACGACATATTCTATATTTTATCACAAAGATTTTAATTCTTTCACTATATATTTCTCACTTAACACAAAGACAGGAGCAAAGCTATGAAGAGCATAAATAAACAAATTATGTATCGAAGTTGCCAAGTATACAAAGCAGAAATATACCACGCTTAAAAAAGTTACATAAACAAATAATAAATCTAAGTTAAGTAAAAAAGAGGTAGACGAGATGGTATTCTAATTCAATAAATGTTCGATACGGCGCTGTTCTTAATTAACTTCACGTTAATTAACGTTCTTACTTGTATATATTATTGTTCAACTTTAACAGGTCATTCTGCTTATGGATGGTGTTTTCAATAGAAATGTAAACAATAACAATCTCGAGTTCGGGACCTACTCTAGTTCCGGTTAAAAAGTTTGCAGCTGCTTACTACATGTTATTCTGATAGGCGATGTTTTCAAACGGATAATTTTGTTTTCAATAAAAGAAATAAACTAAATAATTTCTGAGCTCAAATCTGCCGTATTTCATAAGATATTAATGTTATTATGTAATTCTGGGGAGTTTGGAGTGAAAATTTGTTTTAGTTATTTTGTTATTTATTATTAAAAAAGGTGACATGGTTGCTAGATTTTGAATAACTCGCTTTTTTGGCAGTCTTGATTTGGCCTCTTTCCATTTGTTTATTACTGTTTGTCCGTGTTGCAAGCTGTGCACCATCTTACGTTAGTGTACGTCACTTTTAGTACTGTAAACAGTATTGTTAGCATTGTAAACATAAGTAATAAGTAATCAAATGCCTTGTTTGCAAGAATCTCAAAACAAAATGATGCCAAATGGCTTTAAAATACAACTGAAACAGTAACCCGGAAATTTAGGCAGTCCCGAGCTGGCAGCGCTCCCTAGTGTAGAAAACACCATCTATAAATTATCATCTGGCGCTGACGTCATAGATCACATATGTGGGTATCTGTGATTTTCGTTCTGGAGCAAAAGCACTCAGTTGCGATTCTCTTTAGGAATACAAAGTATTATTTTCATAATAAGATCGTTCAAGCTGAAGGATTAGATTGGTTTAATGTACCATTCAGTGGCACAAAAACAGGATGTGGCGATAAACTATAAATTTTTTCCTTTTAAGAAAGGAAGCGAGAAAGATAATATACATTCACGGTAACTATGAAAATGTGCTAAGTAAACCTAAGATTAACGAAAAATAACCAAAAATCAGAAACGAAAAAATTAAAAGGGCACCTTGGAAGCGAAGAATTCGTATTAATCATAAAAAAAGTTATGCCTAATTAAGGTCATGAAATGTTTCGTTAGACCAGGGGATGGTTATACGTATAAGAAATACACTTTGCGATATATATTTAAAGTAATAGGTTATTTCAAATTGTTTTAATTGTATAAGAAAGTTAATTTATGAAAATTTTAAATTAAAGTGAAAAAGTAATTAAATATTTTATAACATTACTTTTCACGATTTTTTACTACTATTTTATACGATGTATAGTTATATTTCATAGATATTTTAGTATCACTCAATATGGTTGGTCACTCAATATAGTTGGTGTCACTCGTCATTCAATATGTTTCGTGTCGTTAGTGTCACTCAATATGGTTGAAAAGCTAATTTGTATAAAGAGGTAGTTTAATTATGTGCAGTGGGCAAAAAAAAAAGAAGAAAAAATCTCCCAAAATAACTTTTGATCTAATAATCGGATCTTCATGTACTTGAACTCACTCATAACCGCTCGAGGGAGTGACCTCAATTATGCTAATTAGTCATGGAGAAAATATTCTGATAAAATTACCGTATCGTATCGCAATGAAATTTCTAGTTTAAAAAAAAGGAAAAGAACTGCAAATCTGATAATAAAACTATAATACACTTTACTTAAACCTTTCATTTCTAACTATTCCCTTCATATGGTAAAAGTTTTCCGGAAATTCGGATTTTTTAAAATTGTAATTCTTATTATCACACATTTAATAAAAATACAAAACTGAAAAGTAAATTTAACCGAATAAATGGTTTTCATCCATGTTCAAAGGCTAAGGCATCATGTTAAAATTATCAAATTTTATCACATATTATAAAACCATATTATATTCTTAATTTTACTAAAATCATTGCAAAAGTGCTTTTATATAAAGTACCGAGTATTTCTGGTCATTCCATGGACGTAGTAACACAGCAAATATTATCATATTCTGGTAGTTTCGACCATATTTTTCCCCCAATAATTAGTGTAGACAATATTAGGACTCAATCTTTAATGGCTGCTTTTCAGATTTTAAACTATTTTATTTTATAACCGTCGTTAAACAGCCGACCCAAATTTGGGTTTACGACTACTATTGTTCAAATCCGTTGCCTTGTGATTTTGAACCCAATCCAAGGGACAAGGGAACTCCTGGATGAAGTATTGGAAGAAATTTTGCCTTCGTGGAGGACTTTTTGATGGAACTAACGCCTATTTGCGTTACATGGAGAGGAAAACCACGAGACCCTCCCACGGTTAGCCTGACGTGAAGGGGACTCAAACCCGCGATCCGTCTACCAGTGAGGACATTTCACGTTAATACTGTGGTCGGTGCAAGTCGGATGCGGAATTCGCATAGACCAGCCATCAATGGGATTCGAACCCGGTCCATCTCATCGGAATAGGAGAACGCACTAATCCCTTAGCAGACAAAATCAAGGGCATTAGCTAGAAGGTGAAAAATTTGGTCAATGTATTGTTTAAAACTAATTGAGGTGTTAAGATTAGAAATTGAGTTGAAGAAGTAGAATATCTAAATATAGTAGGGCTTTGCATTTGGCTTGGCTTCAATTAAAGTTGGTACTTTGTACAAGATAATTTCGAAAGGTGACCAAGCTGGTTAACAAAGGCGGCTAGTACTTACATATTTAAGGTTCACTCTTGAACTATTAAAATTGTTTCTTAGTACGTGAAAGCCGATCATCGAATAAAGTTATTAAAGTAATTCTTTTTATTTTAACTTTTTGTACTGTAATAACCTCTTTATCATTAAGTGTAGTATATTGTGAAATAGTTTATGATTAATATTAGATAAATGGTAAGAATAATCCTTCTATTTGCAAATTGCGTATTTTACTGAGAATATTTGAGTCTAAATTAAAAAATATCCTCGTATTTGTGAAATAATAATTAATTGGATTTAATTTTTTACGTTATTTTCAAAAAAAACTTTTTGATTTTTTCACGGTAAGTTTTGAAATAAACTGCTAAGTTTTTGTATCATATTTGTGAAAAGGAAATAATGTATGTAAAAAAATGTGTAGCAAATACATTTTAGAGGTAAAATAAGTAAAATTTCCTTTAAGCCTAAGAAGGGATTTAAAGCAAACAAAAAAGGGATTTAAGGCAAGCAAAAAAGGGATTTAAAGCAAATCAAATTTTCAACTGTAAAAAAGGGACATTTACTTTCTGGATTTGAAAGGAACTGATGTATAGAATGTAAAATATTTATTTAAAAATAATGAAGCATTAGTGTAAGAAATATTTAAATGAAAATGAAAGAAATATTTGTCTTAAATTAAAAACACATTAATATAAAAAAAATCAAGATTGTTTAGATGTAAAGTAAATGTTATTTACAAAGTATTTGTAAAATCTAAATTAAAAAATAAGCATCTAAAAAAATTAAATTTATTTAAGTGTTAAATATATGTTGTAGTGGCGTGTATTTTAAAACTCTTTTAAATGTTTTGTAGAGTTTTTTTTCCCTCTTTTTAAATAAACAGCTTTATTTTCCCCTAAATAAATACGTGTCACAACAATACATTGTACTCTTCTTATTTCGAAGCTATGATTAACTATCAATAAATTAGTATCATATACGCAATAGTTTTTAGTAAATTTTAATTGCTGTTTACGACTTAGAAA